GTTCTTTGATTCAGGCCATGGGACTCTCCCGCCTCTTCTCCTTCTAGCCCCAATGAGGGGATGAGCCCCTCTGGGCCTGGAGAGGGCCCCCTGGGTGGGTCCCACCCAAATCTGTGCAAAGCCTGAGGAAAGGACCCAAGGAATTATTGGTTTGCTCTTTATATTTGATGGCGAATCGAGTTTGTTAAATATGGAGCATCACTGGCCGCTGTGAGTCGGAATCGACTCGACGGCAGTGGGTTTGGTTTGTTTTTTTCTTTTCGCTGGGCGCCAGCCAGGCCCTGAGCTGGGTGTGGAGTGCGGGGAGCTGGCAATGGAGAGAGTAGGAGAGCTACAGGAAGAAAGAACTATAACAGGGACCCACAGGCAGCAGGAGCCCAACGGAGGCTGAGTCAGGAAGAGTTAGTCAGGTAGAGAAGCAGAAGTGGGAGCAGAATGCGCCCAGGCTGGAGGCCCAGGAGCCTGGTGTGCGGTGGGAGAGGGGAGGGGTGACACTGAAAAGGAGGCAGGTGGGCACTGGGGTGCAGGGGGCCCAGGCACCTTGGCTTTGATGGTGGTTGGGTTTAGGGGGTGATCCGTCCCACTTGGGCTGCCACATTGTACAACTCCAGGGGTATCATTTCTTTTTATGGCCCCTCAACCAGGTGCTCGCTTCCACCTGGACTGGCACATGCCAGCCTCCCCTCCAACTAGGAGTGCAGTGAGCCTTCTTGAATCAAACCCACCCACGGGGCGGCTTGGAGGGAGAAGGAAGCTCTCACAGACCATCTTGCGCTCTCCCAGGTCAGATGACCAGTGCGGAAGGGGCCCTTCTCTAGAAGGCTCTGGGGAAGGGGAAGTTGCTTTTATTTTTCTTTTTTTATTGTGCTTTAGGTAAAAGTTTACAGAGCAAATTAGTTTCTCATTAAACAATTAATACATTTACTGTTTAGTGACATTGGTTGCCAATCCCGCAATGTGTCAACACTCTTCCCTTCTAGACCTTGGGTTCCCCGTTTCCGTTCGTCCAGCTTTCCTGTCCCCTCCTGGCTTCTCGTCCTTGCCCCTGGGCTGTGTGCCCCTTTAGTCTCGTACACATGGTTAGGCTACATGTGTTACTGTTTGTTTCACAGGCCTGTCTAATCTTTAGCTGAAGGGTAAACCTCAGGAGTGACTTCAGTACTGAGTTAAAAGGGTGTCTGGGGGCCATACTCGGGGTTTCTCCAGTCTCTGTCAGGTTAGTAAGTCTGGTCTTTTTTTGTGAGTTAGAATTTTGTTCTACATTTTTCTCCAGCTCTGTCCCAGACCCTCTTTTGTGATCCCTGTCATAGCAGTCAGTGGTGGTAGCCAGGCACCATCTAGTTGTGCTGGACTCAGTCTGGTGGAGGCTGTGGTGGTTGGCTCTATTAGTCCTTTGGGCTAATCTTTCCCTTGTGTCTTTGTTTTTCTTCATTCTCCCTTGCTCCAGACGGGATGGACCAGTAGATGTATCTTAGATGGCCGCTCACAAGTTTTTAAGGCCCCAGACGCTACTCACCAAAGTAGGATGTGGAACATTTTCTTTATAAACTATGTTATGCCAGTTGAGCTAGATGTCCCCTGAGAGGAAGTTGCTTTTTGAGCACCTACCCTGCTCAGGAGTAGACAGAGAGTGTGGTGGGTAGGGGCTGAGACTCAAGAGTCAGACTGCCTGGGTGCAGGTTCCGATGGTGCTGCTTATTAGCGGGTGATGCCTTGCCCCAGTTTCCTCATCTGTTAACATGGGGATGACATAATCTCTACCTCACAGGGTTGTATGAGGATTAAATGTAAAGCACTCAGGGCCTGGCAAATGCGCCATCAGCAGGAGGAGATAACCTAGTAAGCAAGGAGAACAATTGTAGTAAACAGTTGCTCACTACAGATTAGTAAGTAAGCACAAGTAAGCCCATGCTTACCTTGCTTACTGGGTCATCTGCCCCTGTCAGGGATTGTAAATTTGAAAAGAGGTTTTGATTCTGTAGGAAGATGCTGTGGGCTTGGGGGAGAGACAGATGCCAGCCGTACCTAGAAACAGAATCTTGATGTGGTGAAAAAATGTAAAATTGTAAACACTCTGCTTACCTTGCTTGTGAGATTATCCGCTCCTGGCCATCAGCCTTACCTTATGGGCCAGCCCTGTACAGCATGTCCTCATTTAATCCTGGCCTCAGTCCTATCACAGAGAAGGCAGGTGGTCTGTGTGGAGGGCAGGCTCCGCGGGAGGACTCAGCTCTCACACTTAGCAGTCATGGAAGCTGGGCAAGCTTCTTAGTCCTCGCTTGTGTTTCTACATCTATGAAATGGGGGACAGTAATTTTTAATATATATATATGTATATATATATTTTTTTTTATTGTACTTCAGGTGAAGGCTTACAGAACAAATAGTTTCTCATGAAACAGTATTACACATGTTGTTTTATGACATTGGTTAACAACCCCACAACATATTAACCCTCTAACTTCTCAACCTTTTTTTCTTTTGGTGAAAATACACATAGCCAAAGATACACCATTTCAAAAATTTCTACATGCACAGTTCAGTGACATTGACTACACTCTTCCAATTGTGCTGTTACTCTCACTTAAGATGAAGGCTTCCAGAACAAAATAGTTTCTCATTTAACAGCTACTACACATGTTGCCCCATGACAATGGTTAACAATCTTACAACACATCAACAATATCCTTACTCAACCTTGGGTTCCCTATCACCAGCTTCCTTGTCTCCTTCTGCCTTCTGGCCCTTGTCACTGGACTCCTGTACCTCGTTAGTCTCATTTGGTTTTACGGGGCTGTCCACTCAGAGGGATAGTAATTTTATGAGCCTCATGGGTCTTTGAGAAGAGTGAGTGAGATGAAGCCTGGGAAGCCCTGAGCAGCACAACCTGGCTCGTGTGGTCGGGTTTACTAATCTGCTGAGGTTCGGGTAGGTTGAGTGACCTGCTCAAGGTCACAGAGCAGGTTGGTGATGGAGCTGGGATTAGAACCCGGGAGTTGGGTACACTGACCTCCCCCAGGGCCCTCGGGAAGCCCCGTATGGTACTGAGCCTGAAGGAACGCCCATCTGCAGCCCCAGATGCAGTCCAGCACGAGGGGGGGCTTTGTTCCTCACATGCATCCCTGTGTATGCACAACACACCCCAACCACCCCTCCACTGCCAAGGACAGGTGGGAGGTCCCTGGATGCCAGGGGGAGGGGGACTTGCCCTGGGTGTGAAGAATGCCAAATAGTCCCTCATTCAAATGTTGACAGGTGCCTACCCCACGCCTGGCAGGTTTCTTTAATCATCACAGCAGCCCCGAGAATCAGGTACTGTTGTTATTCCATTTTTTAAATAACAGCTTTATTGAGATACAATTCACATACCATGCAATTAACCCATTTAAAGTGTACAGTTCAATGTTTTTTCATGTATACACAGAATTTGTGCAACCATCACCACAATCAATTCTAGAACATTTTTATCACCCCTCAAAAAACCTTGTACCCATTAGCAGTCACTCCCCATTCTCCCCTCCCCACCAGCCCCTGGCAACCACTCATCTACTTTCTGTTTCTACAGATTTGCCTGGAATCATAAAATATGTTTATTTGTTTTTTGTTACTGGTTTCTTTCACTTAGCATAATTGTTCAGGATTCATCCATATTGTAACCTGTATCAGAGCTTCATTTCTTTTTATTGCTGAATAATATTCCATCACATGGATATACCATTCATCAGTTGATGGACATCTGGGTTGCTTCCATTTTTTGACTGTTACGAATAACTCTGCTATGAGCATTTGTGTACAGGTTTCTCTGTGGACATGTTATCCCATTTTACACATAAGAAAATCAAGGCTCAAAGACTGAAAACCTGTTGCCCGAGCTCACCCAGCTGGTGAGTGAAGGACTCAAGGTGGCTGTCTGAATCCAGAGCCCTTGCTTTTTCCCCGCCCAGGCTTTGTCTCAGAGCTGAGCCAAATGGTGTGACAGGGATAGGTCTGGGGTACAAAGGAGTGAAGGCTTAACTGTTGGAAGGCTTCTTAGAGGAAGAGGTGACAGCTTCCCTGGGCCTTGAAGGATGAGTAGGAGTTTGCCAGGTAGAGAAGAAGGGAAGAACATTGCAGAGAAACAGCAGGTGCAAAGGCTTAGAAGTGTGAGGCTGCCTGGTGTCTGGGAGCTGCATGGAGTTATTTTTTGGGCAAAGGTGTGTGGGGATGGGGTAGGGGAGGGACAGAGAAAGGGCTGGTGGGAGCAGTGGTAATGGCTGGAGACATGGGCACAGATTAGATTAAAAAGGCCTTGAATATCATGCTAAGCACCATGGACTTGATCCTGAAGGCAGTCGGGAGCCCTGGGAGAGCACCAACATAATGTGGAGACAAACAGACCGAAGTCAAATCCCAGTTTGGCTTCTTAGTGTCCTTTGCTTTCGTTTTATCATCTGGAAAATGGGAATACAATAGTAATACTTCGTTGAAGTTTTGTGAGGACTAAATGATTTTGTATCTCAGAAGAGCTTAGCCTAGCACCTGCAGAAAGCCCAGGAAATGATCAGGGGTGTTATCCTCAAAGGGTTTTTAGCAGGGGTGTCTCACTTTGAAAGGTGGGTCTGGCTGCAGGGGGTGACTGGTTTGGGGAAGACAGAGAGGAGGCAGCTGTCCAGGTGAGGCTGGTCTCAGGGAGGTGCGGTGGGGATGGAGAGAGGTTTGGGAGAGGTTTAGGGGTAACTTCTGCAGACCCCTGAGACTTTGGGAATTGCTTGTGAATGCTATCTAAATTCTGATCTTTTTGTGAACCCCTGGCCAGGTGCCAGACCACGCAGGAACTGGCCTGATGACCCCCTCTCTTCCTCCCTGCAGCAAGCCTGGGGACGCCATGCGGGGAGCTCTGACTCCCCCGTCTCCACTGCCACCGCCACCGCCACCTCTGCTGCTGCTGCTGGTGCTGGTGCTGGGGAGCGGGCCACAGGCAGCTACGGGCGGCGGGGCTGGTGGGGCAGCTGGCTATGCCCCAGTGAAGTACGTGCAGCCCATGCACAAAGGACCTGTGGGACCACCCTTCCGTGAGGGCAAGGGCCAGTACCTGGGTGAGCGTTTCCCCACTCCACAGCTCCTGGCCCTGAACTTCCAGCTTCCTCGACCCTTGACCTCCACCAGACCCCGCCCCCCCCAACCAGGCTCCCTAACCCTTAACTCAGCCCCTCAGTCTCCACCAAAGATCTTCCCATCCCCCCTTTTCTTCCTTATGCCGGTCTAGGATCTCCCATCCCTGGTGTGTCTGGAAGCAGGGTACAGCTGGCTGGCAGAGATGGTCTTCAGATGTGGGGGTGGGAAGGTATATGGGGAGGTGGGGAGGGGTTCTGGCCCCACGGCCTGTAAGGTGGCCTGCTGGTGCTACCTGGTGGCCCATTCCACTCCCAGGCCATGAAGTGATGAGAGTCCCTTACCCGAAGCTCTTGGGTAAAACCATGCTTGGGTAGGTTGGGTACTAGGAGCCCTGGGTAAGGACACCCAGCAGGCCTCAAGATGGCCACTGGGTCACACCCCCAAACTCCATCTTCCATGAAGTCAGGGAGCGGTGTGCAGAGAGGGCAAGATGGAGTAGTCTTTGTGAGCAGATACAGAGGCTTGCCCCCTTCCCAGTGTACCCCATATGGGTATGGGGGAGGGGGTAGATGGGGCCTCTGTCCCTACTGTCCCAGCATCTGACTGTCCCCCTCTGTGTCTCTCTCTCAGAAATGCCTCTACCGCTGCTGCTGATGGACCTGAAAGGAGAGCCCGGCCCCCCTGGGAAGCCTGGGCCTCGAGGGCCTCCAGGCCCCCCTGGCTTCCCAGGAAAACCAGGCACTGGAAAGCCAGGGCTACATGGGCAGCCTGGCCCCGCCGGCCCCCCTGGCTTCTCCAGGATGGGCAAGGCTGGTCCCCCAGGGCTCCCAGGCAAGGTTGGGCCACCAGGGCAGCCAGGGCTTCGGGGGGAGCCAGGGATACGAGGGGACCAGGGCCTCCGGGGGCCCCCTGGGCCCCCTGGCCTCCCTGGCCCCTCAGGCATAGCTGTCCCTGGAAAACCAGGTCCCCAGGGGGCACCAGGACCCCCAGGATTCCGAGGGGAGCCAGGGCCCCAGGGGGAGCTTGGGCCCCCAGGCAGTCGAGGCCTCAAGGGGGATAATGGAGTGGGCCAGCCAGGGCTGCCTGGGCCCCCAGGGCAGGGGGGTGCCCCCGGGGCCCCTGGCCTCCCCGGTCCAGCTGGCTTGGGCAAACCAGGTCTGGATGGACTTCCTGGGGCCCCTGGAGATAAAGGTGAGACTGGGCCTCCTGGGGTGCCAGGCCCCAGGGGGGAGCCTGGGGCTGTTGGCTCAAAAGGGCCCCCTGGGGTGGATGGTGTGGGGGTACCAGGGGCAGCAGGGGTGCCAGGGCTACAGGGCCCTGCAGGGGCCAAAGGGGAGCCAGGGATCCGGGGCCCCCCTGGCCTGATGGGCCCCACTGGCTATGGGATGCCAGGACTGCCAGGCCCCAAGGGGGACAGGGGCCCAGCTGGAGTCCCGGGGCTCCTAGGGGACAGAGGTGAGCCAGGCGAGGATGGGAAGCCAGGGGAGCAGGGCCCACAGGGCCTTGGGGGCCCCCCTGGACTTCCTGGGTCTGCAGGGCTCCCTGGCAGACGTGGGCCCCCTGGGCCTAAGGGGGAGGCAGGGCCTACAGGACCCCCAGGAGTACCTGGCATTCGGGGTGACCAAGGGCCCAATGGCCTGGCTGGGAAACCTGGACTCCCAGGAGAGAGGGGGCTTCCTGGGGCCCATGGTCCCCCTGGACCAACTGGGCCCAAGGGTGAGCCTGGTTTCACTGGCCGCCCTGGAGGACCAGGGGTGGCGGGAGCCCTAGGGCAGAAGGGTGACTTGGGACTCCCTGGGCAGCCTGGTTTGAGGGGCCCCTCAGGAATCCCAGGACTCCAGGGCCCAGCTGGCCCTATTGGGCCCCAGGGTCTGCCAGGCCTTAAGGGTGAACCAGGCCTGCCAGGGGCCCCTGGAGAAGGGAAGGTGGGGGAACCTGGCATGGCTGGGCCCACAGGGCCCCCTGGAGTCCCCGGATCCCCTGGACTCATAGGGCCTCCAGGGCCTCCAGGGCCTCCTGGCCCTCCCGGCGCTCCTGGGGCCTTTGATGAGACTGGTATTGCAGGCCTGCACCTGCCCAATGGGGGCGTGGAGGGCGCTGTGCTGGGCAAGGGGGGCAAGCCGCAGTTTGGGCGGGGCGAGCTGTCGGCACACGCCACGCCTGCCTTCACCGCCGTGCTCACCTCGCCCTTTCCTGCCTCGGGGATGCCTGTGAAGTTTGACCGGACCCTCTACAATGGCCAAAGCGGCTACAATCCTGCCACTGGCATCTTCACCTGCCCTGTGGGCGGCGTCTATTACTTTGCTTACCATGTGCATGTCAAGGGTACCAGTGTGTGGGTGGCCCTGTACAAGAACAATGTGCCAGCCACCTACACCTATGACGAATACAAGAAGGGTTACCTGGACCAGGCATCTGGAGGGGCTGTGCTCCAGCTGAGGCCCAACGACCAGGTCTGGGTGCAGATGCCCTCGGACCAGGCCAATGGCCTCTACTCCACCGAGTACATCCACTCTTCCTTTTCAGGATTCTTGCTCTGCCCCACATAACCCGTGAGGGGGCCCTGCTGCCCTGACCTCCTCCTCTTTAGTCGTAGAGAGACTTTTCAGTTACAAAGAATCTCCATTTAAAGAAAAAAACCAAAGGTGGAACAGAGGCGGCCGTGGCCTTGGCCAGAGGCGACTGACCTGCTTTCTCCCCACACGCGGGCTGAGACTGTTTCTGGAAGAGGCTGACCTGAGTTTCTCCCCGTCTCTCCCAAGTGTTTGTGCCATGTTGGGACTGGCCCCCGATGCCTGCCCTGCCTGGTCTGGAGGCAGGGTCCCAGGACACTCAGCTCAGCTATAGGAGACCGCCCCTGCCCGTGAGTCCTGGGCTCTGCTGGGCCGTAAAGGGTGCTGCTCCTTTGTGCGTCAGAGCTGGCAGGGCTGAGCTCCCCATCCACTGGGGAGACACGCTCTGAAGCCTGCCCTTCCTGCTGGGCCAAAGATGGCGCCTGCTTGAGGAATGGGCATGGCTTCCCCCATAGTCCTTGGCTGGGGCTCTTCCAGCTCCCCTGGCATCTCCAGCACATGGCATAGGCTTCTCTGAAGAACCAGGGGAAAGGGAGAGGAGGGAACCCATTGAGGTGGACATCCTGCCTAGACTGCAATCCCAGTGGTGATGCTGTGCCTCAGGCCTGTCCATGGCGGGTACAGCTGCATGGGCCTCTGCAGCCTCCTGGGAAGGGTCAACCCCTTTCACTGCTCCAGCCACAGCCATGGGGAAAGTTGTTTGTGAGGAGTAGGGTACAATATGGGGCAGGAAGCAGCTCTTTGCTTTATCTCCTCCAACTCCCACGCTGCCCCCGCCAGCATTTAAGGGCAGCTACACGTCAGAGACCAAACTCTGTTAAATGTCTAGCACAGGCCCTGGCATGAGGCAGGATCACCAATCACCAAACACGAGTGCCCGCCCTTTCTCCCTCTCACCTGCTGTGTGTGTGTGTGTGTCTGTGTGTGTGTGCGCACGCGCGTGCATGCGTGTGTAGGGGGTGGGGAATGCTGATTTTCTCACACAAAATTGTAAGGGGATCCTCGCTGCCCCGTGTGTGCGCGCGCGCGCGCGTCTGTGCGTGTGCATGCGTGTGTAGGGGGTGGGGAATGCTGATTTTCTCACACAAAATTGTAAGGGGATCCTCACTGCCCCCAACCCAGGTATCCCCAAGGTAGCCTCTTGTTTGACCAACGAGGTGCGCCCAAACTTGGGGATGAAGACGACTTCCACTTGCTTTTCTTTAGTAAGAGCCATACGATAGGTGTGTGTACTAGAGGGGTTAATCTGGGGCGGGGGGGGGGCTTCCTCTCCTCCGACCCTCTGGTTCCAATTTCCTGTTCTAAGCACGATTAGGGCCCAGGAGGCTTAGGCTTTGAGAGAAAGGGTGCCAAGAGGCCCCTCTGGAATGAGTTGGTTCTGGATGCCTCTGCCATTTTCCCCAAGCAGTGCTCCCATGCAGGAGACAGGATCCCCCTCCCATTCCCTCAGTCCCTAATTCCAGCTCAGTAGATCAAACTGAGATTAATGCTGGGGAAGGACAGAGGACATTCTTGCCATGCAAGGATGGCCGGTTTCCCCAGTAGCTCAAGGCCTTGTCCCCACCCCTGCCAAGCCAGCCCACTTCCCTATACCAAGTGTGAACGTGGGTCATTCAATATGTGATCTTGTGTGATCCTGGCAAACTCCAAACTGTCCCCGTTGAAAATGGAGGGTGACTGCTGACTTTTGACATGCTCCCGCAGGCCCCTTGCTAGTCCCCTACCCCTCCCCACTTCTCCAAACACAGCAGGCTATTTGACTGCTCATCTTAACTTTCAAAAGGAGAAATGAAAACCCAAACCTGCCCAAGTGACACTTTAAGAAAAGGTACTGGCTGGGATTCCTGGTAGGTTTCTTACTCCCAAACACCCAAAAGAACCAGCTAAGGAAAAAGTCTCAAACCATACCTGGTGGGGGTGTCCCTTGCTCAACCTCCTGCTTCCCTAGGTCAAAGCCACCAGAATCTGACCTATTAGGATTTCTGACTGGCAGAAACCAGCTTCCAATGTGAGCCCAAGGGGTCAAGGAGGGTACCAGGGGACAGACCCACACCACACACACATGCTGTGTCACAAAGCTGAGTTTCTGCCAAGTTTCATTCTTGAAGACTTTAAGGAGGGATGGCTGGTATTTCCAAAATGTTTAAGGAATCTTAGTTTCATATACCCACTTAACTGACTAGCTTTGATAAACATGTCAGGTTTTAATTACGAAAACTACGTTACCTTGTGCATTTTTATATTGATTCTTAATTTTTTTATTTTTTTTTAAGATTAAGATTTAAATGTTTGCCATTAGTAATTTCATTTCTAACCTGGTTTAGGAAGCCTAGTGTCACAGCAGATTGGGGAAAAATGCACTCGGGAATCCAAGAAAATGGGACTTCTTTTTGAAAAGAAACGGTACTGACTGTATCGACACAACCTCAATAAAACCTGTTGTATAAAACAGCACTGTGCTGACACTGGCCTGATGCAGAGGGAGCCTGAGCCTCTGGATTTCAGGGCGCCCAGGGAGTTCTTGAGGTCTTGCTGCATGCCCTCAGGAGCTGTGCGTTCCTCCGCAGCTACCCAACCCTGGGTTCTGTCACCACCACATCAGACATGCTCGATCCTCCCAAGCTGCCAAGGCTCTGCACCAAGTAAATGCTGAAAGGCATTTTAAGAAACCAAAGGAAGGCTGCGGTGGGAGCTGGGGGAGACGGATCAATCTTCCCTGGAACATTCCTGCAAGCACTCAGGGGTAGTGGAGCATGACAGCTGGCTCAGGGTCCCAAGCGCCAAGTTGCAACATCTGATACAAATTATGAATGAAATCATGACTCTGAGGGCAGGGCTGTGCCAGGTCCAATGCTGAAGACGGCTGGGGGAGCTGTCCAGGGCAGAAAGCACCTGTTTCACAGTCTGCACAGGGATGTCCCTGGCTCTGGGGATCTGGGACAGCAGACCTGTGGTGCACCCCAGCCTGGCTGAAAGTGGGCCAGCAGGACAGTCCTGAAGCCTCAGGCTAGCTGCAGGGCTGCCCGACTTCTCTCTTTATGGAAGCTGGGAAGGATGCTCAGAGTGTCCCCTCCCTTTCAATTTTCCTTTCCTCAAAATGGATGCTGTGCAAAACTTCCTTACGGGGCAAGGCCTTTAACTGGAGCCCAAGATGTAAAATGAGGCATACAGCATTTAGTCCACCCAAGGCATTCTGAAGGAATGTGCCCTCCCCACCTAAAAGCTGGTGATAGAAGGGGCCCTCTGTCATCTTTTACAGGGTTCCTTTCCTGGCCCAGCTGGGCCTGGGTCCTATTTGGGAAGCCATTTATGAAGTCAGGCTCTGAGAGGAGGGAAATCTGGCCTGTTCCTATCCAATGCTCCAGCAAAGCACTTGGCCCACCTGCCTGGGCCACTCTTGAGTGATCTTCAACTGGAAACACCACCAAATCATGCCTGCTCTGCCCTCCCTGGCCAAACAATGCCACCAGCTGGAAGAACTCCTGGAGGAGTCTATCTCAACACAGCAGCTCACTGTCTTGAGTTTTTATCTCCTGGGACAGCACAGCCCAGACAGAGAGGTGGTAGCTTGAGGAAGTCAGGCTGCCCGGGAAGAAGAATCTATTCAGGGCAGAAGAAACATGGAAAACGGTGGGATTTAACAAGAACTGTTTATTGCTCAGTGACTTCCACTGGAAGCTGTAATTAAACCCACAACAGCTAAGGGCCAGGTGTGTTATCTATATCAGCTAGATGCACGTACCTGTGTCCCTGATCCATACAAATGTGCTGCCTCAGGGGCCCTGTCTAGTCAGAGACAGGATTTCTGGCAAACCGGCTAAAACCTAACAGGGAGAAATGACGCTACCACAGACCATTTTCACTTCCCCAAATCCCATATCCTAGATAAGAAAAATGCCAGAAGTATTCCTCTAAAATGAAACCTGCCCTGGTTCCCCATGTCTTCTGGCTGAGGCACTGGAAGAGCTCTGAGGCTCTGCAACAAACCAAGAACCCAGCACCAGGGAGGCACCCCCCCCCCCAACTGTCCAATGACCTCCCCTAGAGACCCCAGGCCTAACCCCAGGAAGACTGAGGCAGGGGAGCCAAGCCGGGGAACCTCAGGGTTTCCAATTTCAGCTGTAGCTGGTCCCGCTGACCTTGGCAGAGCCCAGTAGCTGTGGCCCTCATAGACTCTTCTGGAAGACCCGGTGCAGACTCTGGGCCAGGATGTCTGTCTCCTCATAGCCCTCACAGCTTTGCTGCCAGCTCTCTGACACCTGTTCCATCCCGTAGTAGGCGCCAGCAATGGCCCCAGCCATGGTGGCGATGGTGTCTGTGTCCCCACCAAGTGAGATGGAATAGATAAGAGTCCTTTGGAGGCTGTTGAAGGTAGAGGGGATCTCGGGATCGGGCTCCATGCAGCGCAGGAAGCAGTAAATGGCGGTGGGCACAGATTCAAAGGCAGCAATACCATTCCCTGTGGGGAAGCCAGATTGTGGGGACTTGACTTACACCCTATGCGCTGGACTTCCTGACACGTGCCACAAGTCAAGACTCTCAGCTTCAAGCTGGGCTGTGATTAAGATCATAGGCTCTAGAGTTACGACTCCTTGGGTTCAAATTCTGGCTCTACCACCTAGGCTGTGTAACTGGCAAAGTTACTTAATCACTGAGATTCCCATATCTTTGATCTGATTCCTCCTCAGGGTAAAGACTGAGTAGTAAAAAGTAGTAAAGTGGATAACTCTTCCAGGGCTGCTGTGAGAATTACGTGAGATCATATATGTACAGCATTCTCCAGAGAGCCCAGCACACAGTAAAAGTGCTAAAATCACCAGTTACCAACACTAGCTATAAAAACTGGTGGCATGCTGCCATGTCTGGGTATATTATCTGTAAGGCTGAAGGTCAAGTAGCACCAGAGCAAGAAGGTGCTATGCTCACATCTCTACCAAGCGCCCTGCAGACCATGGCTCTGTCACATCAGCCCAGGACAAAAATGTGACGGCAGGAGTGACTCCACGGTCCCCTCCCCTCCCTAAGCCCAAGTCTGACCCTGAGGATGCCGGAAAGGGAATAAATTGATCAGGGTCTACCCACCGAGCTCAGCTACCACTTCCTCTCTGGTCACCGAGTCCTGCTCCAGAAGTTTTGCAATCTTCTTCAGTCGACTGGAGTACGGACGCTCTTCCATGCCCAACCTGGGAGTGTGAGGAGAGATGTCAGTGAAGTCAGAGCCAGCAGGGTGGAGACGCAGATGGGGAAAGGGGCTGCGTGTGAGGGTTAGGCGGATGTGGACAGGCTGTCCCCTGCCCCCGGGCCAAGGGGTGGGCTGTCCTGACAAGGAAAGAAGTGGTGGGAGAGGGCTAGGTGTGAGCAGGGTGCTATTCTCTGGGACCCTGACAGCCTTGACAGGAAAGGCAGAGAAGCTTCCTCCCAGGCCTCCCTAAAATCTACAACCGAAGAACAGGTTTCAGCCTTGTGGCAGTGCCACAGGCCTTCCTGTCACCGCGAACGCACACTCACGTCTACGCTTCCAGCCCTGCCTCCACCGGTACTCACTCCTTGGCGTCTGAGAGGGACTGGGCATCACTCTCCAACTTTTCCATGCGGCCCAGGAGCTGCTCGAGGAAGTGCTCACTGGACAATTCACCCTGCAAAGCTAGATGCACGGCCAGGGCCTGCAGGATGGCACCGTTGTAACCCAGGGAGGAGGCATGTGTCAGCTGGGCTGAGAGCCGGGCAAACTAGGGAAAAGACAGTGGAGGCAAAATCCACTGTTACAGAACCTGTGCCTGCCGCAGAAAAGAGAC